GTATAGTACCTAGTAATGTCATCACAAACTCAGAAGCGAAAGCACAAAACATTGACAATTAAAGAAAAATGTGATATTTTAGACCGGTTAAATCGCAATGAAACTTTCAGTAGTTTAGCAAGTGAATACGGCGTAGGGAGATCTACAATTTATGACATTAAAAGAAACCACGACAAGATCAAGAAGTTCGTGTCAACTACTGACTGTGGGCCAGGCAGGAGACAGACACTCAAGAAAGCTGAACATCCAGAAGTGGAAGAAGCTTTGTACATGTGGTTTCTTCAGGAAAGAAATAGGCATGCACCAATTTCAGGACCCATGAAAGATAAGTTTTTTTATAAGGAAATAACAAAAAAATATGATTTTGTGGCCAGCAAAGGATGGCTAGAACGTTTTAAAAGTCGTCATGGCATACGTTTAATGACTATTACAGGAGAGAAACTTTCTAACGATGCCAGCTGCATACAGCCCTTTAAATTAAGATTTGCGGGCACACACGCGCCTAAGATGATGGTCATTGGGAAATCTAATAAACCACCGGCATTCAAAAACATTGATTTACCTGTACACTATTACGGACAAAAAAGTGCATGGATGACAAAAGACCTTTTCAAAAAGTGGTTTGATGAATGCTTCGTACCTGAAGTTAGAAAATGGTTAAAAGATCATAATTTTCCTCGAAAAGCGTTGTTGCTTATTGATAACGCTCCCGCGTCATCCGTCTGAAGAAGAACTCACAACTGAGGATAAATGCATCACTGCGATGTTTCTTCCGCAAAATTGCACTGCACTGATTCAACCAATGGACCAGAATATCATTCAGTTTGTCAAGCAAAACTATAAGAAACACCTACTTCTGAGAGCCGTATCAAAAGACCAACTAATAGAAAAAACTTTAAAAGAATTTAATATGAAAGACTTGGTTTTTGCTCTTTGTCAGTCATGGAATGAGTTACCGTCATCAACCATTAAATCGTCTTGGAAAAAGTTATGGCCAGATACAGTCACCACTCCTAGCAACGTTCCACAAATCAGTGTTACTTCGGAAGTTATAGAACAAGTCGCTACTGAAACACAGATAAGTCCGGAAGATTTGGAAATCTAGTGCCGTGGAATGGATAAAGAGGAAAATGTTTTTCGTGAAATGTCTGACAAAGAGATTATAAAATTATACAACAAACAAGTCCACAGCACAAGAGGCAATTAACGCCTTTGAGCTAGGGCTGAAGAGAATGGTACATCCTACAACGAACTTTTACTTTTGAGAAGACTGAGGGACAAAGCTCTGATCTCGCGTTATAACAACCTTAAACAAAAAAAAAATATGAATATTTCCAAGCTTCATAATTTGATAAATTAATTAATGATTTTGATTAATAATTCTTGATTATTTTGTTACATATGTATGTGCATTTATGCTTAATTTTATAATAATACATAAGCTCTCTATTTTTATTCAATTTACTAAATTCGACATACATAAACTATGTATGATTTGTACTTCAAAGTACATACATATACATAACATATATAATCTTACCATTGAATATGTAATTTGTCGGATTACAAGGTACTCTTTTGTAAAAAATTCCGGACTATAGGGGGTCTTTGGCAGTACTCTATAGTCCGACAAATTCGATAGTCCGACGCTGCCCTGCATAATGTTTGTCGGATTACCGGAGGTCCACTGTACTGCATGTACCACGACTTTTCTGTGCTCTTCACAAGCTATCTGTCTTATTGTGTATTCCAGAATAAACATCAACGTGTCTTGAAACTAATCTTGTAAGGGTCACGAAATACTTCTTTTAGGGCCAATTTCATCTGCAACAGTCCGTTATTCTCAACCTATAGGGTAACAGACCGTCAGACACAGCGAATGAGCTTCAAGTTCCAATCAACAAATTTTAGCAACCAATAGCACTGAAATGTTGAAAACAAACTACTGTCAAAGTATGAGATGACAACTTGTCATTGAAACATCACCAGCTTGTTGAATATTAAGAAATCACATATAATTCAGTCAGAATTTTAAGAAATGTTGGATTTTTGAATTAAATTCATGTTTTAATTACGATTGTTGATTTTTTATTCATGTTTATATTATTTTCTTCAACTGATATGTAATACTGGGTGTTTTTTCCCATAAACCTCTTGCAGATGGCCATTAAGCACCTACTTGATGACAGGCTCTACCAAAAGATATTGCTCGTTTCCAAACATACATTCATTTTCTTGCAAAATACAGACAAATCCACACTATTCAACAGGTATGTAATGAAAACTTTCAGTATATTGAAGTTGGTAAATTCGAGAGTGTCATGCATTAACAAACGTCCAAATCTGCTGCCAAATTTAACAGCTAGAAAATCGACCTATTATTTGCCGCATTCCCATTCGCTGAAGGGCATAACCGATTGTTAAATGTAAACCTATAACATATAGTATATCAAAATACATGAAAGTTGTCCTGTTTTTTCTGTACAAAAGCATCATGTTGGAATCAAAAAGTGGTCTTGTTTATAATACAGCCGAATTTTCACGATTTTATTCAATATTTCAATAGAAATCACTAATATTCAGAGACCTTTGACAGCTTCTGTAAAATTGCATTTCGATAAGGTATTTTCCCATTGGTCCATAATATTAATCTTGGTGAAATCGGCCTTTAGGATACTGATTCTCCGAGTTGCACATTCACCATTTTCGCAAATCTGAAAAACTGTCTATTTCTGTCTCTCAGATTACTTTGGTCCCATGAACACTTTCATTAGGAAGGCAAGAAATATATCGTACTGAATTTTTTCCGGAATGGATTGCGCTTCCTGTCGCCATGGTAAACTAGTGTATCTTGCTATAAAATGCCCTTTGAACTAACCCTTATATTGCTCAATAAACTAGTAGTGATGGCCAGAAAACAGGTGTTTTGGGATAAACAATTAGAAATTCTCACAAACTACTTGAACAATCTACTTCAATTTTATTGCTGTAATTTAGAAGTATGAATTCTACGGATTTGAAGAATTTCAAGTAGTTGTGTGAAATTATCGTCTCATTACCAGCAAGTGCCAAAACATGCCTCGGTTTTCGGCCATAACTTTTTTGCCATTAGACAGATCTTTCTACGTGTTGTCTCATTTAAATATTAATAATAATAATCGTCTTTATTTAAACTGTACCATTTCATACAGAGAAACAAGAGTTGCATATGGTGGCGAAGTTTAGCAACATGCTACTCTTACACTTAACCACCCATGCAAAAAAAACAAGTTGTTAAGTAGCAGATATCAAACAAAGTATACATATATACATACACATGTACATACATACATATATACATACATATGTACATACATACATATACACACATACATACATGTTGCACCAAGGTTTGCTACATGCACACAAGGGAAGTGAAGAATCATTTAACAATATATCTATAGCAATCTAATTAAGACTATGGATCCAAGCAAATATGAGATTTGACAGCTTTCTTGAAGCAATTTAAGGACATGGTTTTGAATTCAGGACTTAAGGCATCACATAACACTACGTGAAAGAACGCTGGAATAAAGTTGTGGAGTGAATAGGTGTAGCTATCAAATCTGGAAACCTAATGTGTCTATGATGAATATTACGCCTAAAGATCAGCTTTTTTCTTAAGTATATAGGTTTTGACATAAGTATTAGTTTATGAAGAAAAGCAAGGTAATGATATTTGACAATATTTTTTGTTATCATCCAGTTTAATTCAATAAGACTACCAGAAACATGGTCAAAGCGCCTTAAACCGCAGATGAACCTAGCACAATTGTTTTGCACAATTTGAATCCGATTTCTAGTAACAACATTGAGACACGGATAATATAAAATATCACAGTAGTTGAAAATCGGCATAACCAAAGATGAACACAGTTTTTTCCTTAGCTTACAATTGAAAATTGCTTTATAGGCATATAGTGATCTCAGTCTCAAGTAGGTTTTCTTCAAAAGATTTTTAACATGACTGGTGAATCTAAGTTTAAAATCGATTACCACGCCAAGAATTTTAACCTCGTCAACCGGGTACAGTCTTTGAGATCCAATTTTAATAGTTAATTGAATTTTAATTTCTTCTCTCCTACGATCCGAACAAAAAAATAACAGGATTTATTGACAGGTTGTGGTTATTCGAGAAGTCATACACTTTTTGAATATCATGGTTTATTGATGTCTGTGCCATTTCCATATCATCAGTATCAAAATAATGGACCAGTTGAGTATTAAGAGTTTTTTCGTTCCTACTAACACTTTCGATTGAATCTCCAAAAACACGTTTTCTCATTCTTTGTTGTCGTATAAAAAGTTTACCCACAAAAATTAGTGCGTCCATGTTTTGAATACCCCCTTGAACAACGTGCATCAATAAAACCAGACATTACAATTATTTCGCAAACCAGCAGTATTTTCGGGCTTTGCCCTTCAAAAGTTTCCTCAATGATGCCGCAGCACGATGTTTTGTTAATAATTTATACCCGTAATTTTATAGTACTGAAGTATAAAATAAGGTTGAAGTTGTCATTCAGTGGCAATATAGACTTTAAATAAAAACACTCAAGCGATATTAGGGTCGCATGCATACTTCTTGACGGCGCGGAAGGTAAAAGTCTAGAAAATCTCCTTTATATACTCGACTGCAATTATTTGTGTATCTGGTGTTTATATTTGCAAAAAGTCATTTAAAGACCATATACGAGTTGGAAGCTACCATTTTCTATGAGGATTTGGCAGTATGCTCGGTAGCAAATACCAAACGTACCTGAAATTCCGTGTTGGAAGTTGATAGAAGTTCGGCGCGAGTTCAGTTATTGCTGACGCTTCTTCGTGTCGATTTCCGCACGCGATTTATTACGACGGACGGGTGGAAAAGTGGTGGCTGACGGAGTGATTTTATTACTATTTATTTTTTTGCATGTGATCGGGTGCTAAAAGTGAGTCACCGAATGAAAATTTTGTTTCAGTTTTCTGGAAATATACAATGAAAAAGTGCGTGATCTGTTGGACGGCGAATGTGCGGATAACTATATAGCGAGAAAAAGGTTGCCGTTGAAAGTCAGAGAGCATCCGAAGAAAGGACCTTATGTGCAAGGTAATCGTCTAATTTTAGATAATAATAATAATAATAATAAAGTGTCTTTATTGGCAACCTTCCATATTATGGCGAAGTTTAGCTTGATTGCTACTCTTCCACTTAACCATAATATGGACAAAACATCAAAAATTTATACAAGGAACATAATACATAGAATATAAACAATTACAGAACAATGAAGAGATTATACGTCACTAACTATCGACCTATTTCACTTATATCAAGTTTAGCTAAAGTTTTTGAGAAATTACTCCTTAATAAAATGATTAATTTTCTTAATAAATTCAAAATTCTAAATTCAAATCAATATGGTTTTATAGCGGGCAAATCTACAACAGATGGGGTATTAAGTATAGTAAATGAAATAACCCAAAATATAGATGGAAAAGTACCATCGATATGCGTATTTGTGGACTTACAAAAAGCGTTTGACACAGTTAACCACAATATACTTTTGTAAATCTTAGAAAGAATAGGTTTTCGTGGAAAGATGTATACTTTAATGGAAAATTATATATCAAATAGACCGCAATCAGTAAAGAAATGTTTGTTAAATGTGGACGATATATTCAAAATTAATAGTACTGGTAAAATAGTCAGTTTTGCAGACGATACTGCTATACTCTATAAAGGTAAGGATTGGAACGACTTAAAAGATATTATCCAAAATGACTTTTGCAAAATTATTCAGTGGTTTAATAACCGAAAATTAACAATTAACTTTACTAAAACTCATTTTTTACCATTTTCATCACTATCTAATCATCTTCCAAAATATAACCACCTTCGGTTTAAGGTAAATGATAAAAATATAAAAATCAATAGAGTTAATGATACAAAATATTTAGGATTTTATCTAGATCCCCACTTTAGATGGGATGTACATATTTCTCACATACTAAAGAAAATTAGATTCATAGCATATAAAATAAAATTTCTAACCGGTATATTAACTGAATATTATCTACGAATAATATATCAAGCTTTAGTCGAGCCACACATAACATATGGTATAGTAGTGTGGGGTGCTGCATGCATGACATACTTTAACGATTTAGATGTACTTCAAAGAAGAATTTTAAAATCAATGTTAGGCAAATCAAAATTATACCCAACTAATGACTTATATAATGATGCACAAGTATATGATACTAAACAACTTTACTTCTTACATACCATCACTCATTATCACAAAACTATTAGTGAACACGACATAATTAAACATAATCATAAAACCAGATATAAATCACGCGCAAAAAATGTTCCTAAACCAAACAAATCCCTAATGAAACGATGTCACCTGTATATAGCTCCAAAATTGTACGAACATTTACCAAATAATTTAAAACAATTACGCAATACATTAGGCTTCAAAAAAAAATTAAAAAAATTTATTAACACGATTGGGAGAAATCAAATTAATAAAATAATCTCAAATATTACACAATAAATGCTCTACCATTCTTACCAATAATTTCTTTTTTCTCTCTATTTTATTATATTTTGCAATTCAACATACATATGATCTATGAACAGGCGTTGTCCTCCTATGGATATATTATATTTATTTACTCGTTTCATGTTCCCTGTATTTTAGAGTAAATAAATATTATTATTATTATTATTATTATACCATTTGCTAGCCAAGCATGCCAGAAAGCAAATATCGACATGAACATGAGAAGTCAACCAAATTGAAAATATTCATTTAACAAAATCCCAAAAATAAAAATAAAATAAATTAACAACTAAAACATTGAGAGATGATTGTATCTCTAATAGCTGTTTTCTAACTGATTTTTTAAAAGAGAGTAAAATTTCTTGTTTGTTAGCCGCACTGACTGAATTGTAAAGCTGAACGGCATTATACGTGAAAGACCTCTTATATAATGAGGTGTAGAGAAGAGGAATATTGAACTGTTCATCATGACGTAACCTTCTTGAAATTAAATTCCTACGCGGAACTAACTTATTTGCAAGGTAAATAGGTCTCTTGGTAACGACTGTTTTATGTACAAAAACCAACATATGAAACTTGAAAAGATTATTGAGCTTCAGCCACCCCAGCTCACAGATCTTGGATGTAACATGGCTGTACCTACAAAGGCCGAAAACAAAACGACAACAACAATTTTGAATTTTCTGCAATCTGGTTTTTGTTATGGAGTCAAGACAAGGATAAAACAGTATAAAACAGTAAAACAGCTTAGATATAACTAAACTTTCCACCAATTTCTTTCTAGTTTTGAAATTGAGAATAGAACGATTGGAGTATAGGAGTCTTAGGCTTGCATATGTAGCTTTAGATATATTAGTGACGTGGTGATGAAATCTAAGATTTACGTCTAAAGTAACACCTAGACTTTTTGCATGCGTGACGAGTGGAATATGGACATTATTTACCCTCAAATCAATCATCCTTTCAAAATGCTCATAGTTGGTTTTGGGACAGAACAACACTGCAAAACTCTTGGTAGGATTGAGCTTCAAACAGTTAGCCTTGCAATAGTCAGTTATATTTACCAGATCTAAATTTATTTTATACGAAGCTTGATCCACATTAGTAGGTCAATTGTGTATCGTCTGCGTAAGTATGAATACTACAAAACTGTAATACAGTATGCAAGTCAAAAGTATCAACTAAATATAGTAAAGGACCAAACACGGAACCCTGAGGAACACCAGAAGCAACATCGGCACTAAGAGAAACTCCTTGGCTTGTTCTTATTCGTTGCTTGCGATTATTTAAGTATGATTTAAAAAAGCAAAGAGGAAGGTCAGATAGTCCGTAGTATTTTAATTTGGATAGAAGCATTTCGTGGTTAACCGTATCAAATGCCTTTGAGAAATCTAACAACACCAGCACAGTGTAAATATGATTGTCTAAGTTAGAGATAATCTCATCAGTTACGTGTAATAATGCAGATGTTGTGCTGTGACCACCACGAAACCAGACTGACAATTTGGAAATATATTGTACTCTTCAAAATATTTTACCAATTGCATATAAACAATTTTATCCAATATCTTTGACAAGGCACACAATATATACTAAGTGACATATAAATCCGAACACCCAGTTTAAATGGTTTTATTTTAATAAAATTTTGTATAAGTACTTAATGAAGCATAATAAGTAAATGATAAAAATTTCAAAATGATTGCACTGCTTTAAAGCCCTTTGACCTTGACCTAATAATGTGTGGATGCACCCTGATGTGCTACGCATTCTCCAACGCGCCTAGGCATGCTTCTGATCACGTGGTCAATGTCCTCCTGTGGTATCTCATTCCAGGCAACTACCAACTCCTCTCGAAGTGCTTCTAGAGTCTGAGGAGGACGTTGCAAATTGAGCAATCTCCTACCCATCATATCCCACACGTGCTCAATTGGGGATAAGTCGGGAGATCTTGGTGGCCATGGTAACAATGTGACATCATTATATTGAAAGAAGTCTATTGTGACTCTTGCAACATGTGGTCGGGCATTATCTTGTTGGAAAGTTGGATCTGCCAGGGTGTCAAGATAGGGTAAAAGATGGGGTTCTAGAACTTCGTGGATATAACGCTGCGCGTTCATGTTACCTCTGATGAAGATTAAAGGTGACCGGGAACCATAAGCTATAGCACCCCAAACCATAACTCCAACAGTGTGATGAACATGTCTTTCAACAAAAAACTGACCTTTCACCACGTCGCCTTCTAACCCTGGCACGACCATCGTGCATGCCTGAACAAAATCGAGACTCGTCACTAAAGACAATACTGTTCCTTTCCTGATCCCAGAGTGACCGTTGTCTGCACCACTCAAGGCGATTACGTCGGTGTTCTCGAGTTAAAGGGAGGACCCAGTCTCGCCGGTATGAAAACAAGCCAAAACTTCTCATTCGTCGGTAAACACTTCGCATGCCAAAAGGTCTTCCGTGTTCTGCAAACCATTCATTTGCAATGGACCTGGTAGTGGAGAAACGGTCCCTTAAGGCTAATAATCTTAGGCGGCGATCTTCACGGTCTGTTGTTCTACGGCGGCGTCCAGTGCCCCTAGCTCTTTGCGTACGGCCTTCTCGAAGCCATGCCTGACGACACCTAACCACAGTGTCTACACTTCTTTGCACTCTAACTGCAATTACCCGAAAAGAAAGTCCAGCTTCCCGAAGTCTCACTATACGGCCCCCTATCAAACTCACTAAGTTGACGAAATCGTACAGGTCTCCGTACTCTAGGCATCGTAACCGATCGTAAAGGATGTCAAGAACCAAAATCCACCAACGTTGGTTCTTTACTGCGGCTGACATATTTATTTTTAGAGCGTTAGTGAATTTAAAAAAAGCAGTATAAAAACCGGAATGTCCAACTGATAAGGCTGAAAATTTTTTCACTTGTTATTTACAGTAAGATAAATACATTCACCAACTTTTATTAAAATAAAACCATTTAAACTGGGTGTTCGGATTTATAAGTCACTTAGTATAGTAAATCCACGATTCATCACCACTAACAATGCTGTACACATTTTTTAAGTTTCCGGAATGGAAACGGTCAAGCGTTTTTTGACACCAATTAATCATGGCGTTGCCGAAAACAGACAGTAACTCAGCAAGGCATTCTTGTTGCAATAATTGTCTCTGAAAGTTGTAATAAGTTATGGCGCGAAAATGTTCTCGGTTGAGTTCCATTTTTCTAATGACTTGGTGAGGCTTAAAAATTCACTGTAGAGAAAACACTGCACGTATAGTTGTGAAACTTTGAACTTAAGTTTACTAAAGAGTGAGGTTAAGATTCAGTACTGAAGTTCGATCCGCGCGGCCTACTATGTTTCTATATGCAAAACTAAAAAGACATCCCTCGTACAGCAGCAGGAATAAAAGCTAAGCAATAACTCACAACATTTGTTTCTCCTTAAAATCAATTACTTTGACGACTAGCAAATGATACGAGTATAACAAATCGTCGTTGTTTTG